ACTCCTGCCTCCTCCTCGTTTGCCTCAACCGCTCCTGTAAGTGTGGAAGATCCTGAGCCTATGCAGCTGGGTCACACCCGCCTCTCACTTGAAGAGAGGGAGAGAAGGCAGAGACTGAACCTTTGTATGTACTGCGGTCAGCCAGGACACTTTGTCAGCCGGTGTCCAGTAAAAGCCAGAGCTCACCAGTGAACGGAGGCATACTGGTGAGCTCCATCCTTGGTCCTGCCTCCCCTAAAAGGCCCAGCCTCACTGGTGAGTTCCTGCTGCCTTCTGGCTCCCACTCCATCGCCGTCCTCGTCGATTCAGGGGCCGACGAGAGCATTATGGACCAGGCCCTCGCTCTCCGGCTTGGTCTTCGCCCAGAGAAACTGTCATTGCCCATCTCAGCCAGCGCCCTGGATGGACATGTGCTGGGGAGGGTTACATCACAAACCAACCCTGTGCGCATGCTCCTGCCGGGGGGCCACAGTGAGACCATCCAGTTCCTGCTCCTGTCTACACCAAGCCAGCCTGTCATCCTGGGGTATCCCTGGCTTCGCAGGCACAACCCCAACATTGATTGGACTACCTGTTCCATCCAGAAGTGGGGAGAGACCTGCCAGCGGACCTGCCTCAGGATACCATCGCTGTCATCTGCTTCTCCTGTTCCTGCTCCAGCCCCAGATCTCATCGGAGTTCCAGCAGCTTATCATGACCTGAGAGAGGTGTTCAATAAAGCTAAGGCCACCTCTCTGCCACCTCACCGCCCCTATGACTGTGCCATAGACCTACTCCCGGGCACTTCGCCTCCCAAGGGACGCTTGTTCTCTCTCTCTGCTCCTGAGAGAAAGGCCATGGAGGAGTACATACAAGACTCCTTAGCGGCAGGGATCATCCGTCCTTCCTCTTCACCTGCTGGTGCAGGGTTTTTCCTTGTGGATAAGAAGGACAAGTCTCTGCGGCCCTGTATAGACTATCGTGGACTTAATGATATTACAGTTAAGAACCGCTACCCCCTCCCACTCCTCTCCACAGCCTTTGAACTGCTGCAGGGGGCAACAGTGTTCTCCAAGCTCGACTTGAGGAATGCTTATCATCTGGTTCGCATCAGGGAGGGAGATGAGTGGAAGACGGCCTTCAACACACCAACTGGACATTATGAATATCTGGTGATGCCCTTTGGTTTGACCAACGCCGTCTTCCAAACTTTGGTCAACGACCTGCTCCGGGATATGCTAAACAAGTTTGTCTTCGTTTACCTGGATTTTTCTCGTAACCAGGGGGAGCATGTCACTCACGTCAGATCTGTCCTCCGCCGCCTCTTGGACAATTCCCTGTATGTCAAGACAGAGAAATGTGAATTTCATGTACCCTCAGTCTCCTTCCTGGGATACATCATTGCCAAGGACTGCTTGCAGATGGATCCAGCTAAGGTCTCTGCAGTGACCTCCTGGCCAGTTCCGGAGACACGCAAGCAACTGCAGCGTTTCCTGGGGTTTACCAATTTCTACCGGCGTTTCATCAGAGGTTTCAGCTCCATTGCCTCTCCCCTCTCGGCCCTCACCTCATCCAAGACATCCTTCCGCTGGACTGACGAAGCACAAGGCGCCTTCGACACCCTCAAGACTCGCTTTTCCACTGCTCCCATCCTCCAGATCCCCGACCCTGATCGCCAGTTCATTGTGGAGGCGGACGCATCCAGCGTGGGGGTGGGGGCGGTTCTGTCACAGCGATCCACCGTCGACCAGAAGGTCCACCCCTGTGCCTTTTTCTCTCGCCGCCTAACTCCCGCGGAAAGGAACTATGATATTGGTAACAGGGAGCTTCTGCCGGTGAAACTGGCCTTGGAGGAGTGGCGCCACTGGCTAGAGGGAGCCAAGGTGCCATTCATTGTGTGGACTGATCATTGCAACCTGGAATATATTCGATCTGCCAAGAGACTGAATTCCAGACAGGCCCGCTGGTCACTGTTCTTTGACAGGTTTAACTTCACACTGTCCTATCGACCCGGGTCTCGTAACATCAAACCAGATGCACTTTCCCGGCAGTTTCCTGAGTGTCCTGATGAAACGGTTGAGCCCTCCACCATCGTCCCAGCCTCCTGTCTTGATGCTTCGGTCACTTGGGAGATAGAGGAGAGGGTGCGGGCCGCCACTGAGGACCAGCCTGGTCCTAGTTCCTGTCCCCCTGACCGTTTGTTTGTTCCGGCTCACCTCCGCTCCGATGTGCTCCAGTGGGGGCATGCTTCCCGGCTCACCTGCCACCCTGGCATTCAGCGGACCCGAGACTTCCTGCAGCAGCGCTTCTGGTGGTCATCAATGGAGGAGGACGTCCGAGGCTATGTCAACGCCTGTCCTGTGTGCAACCAGAACAAGACCTCTCGTCGTCCACCAGCCGGCTTCCTGCACCCATTACCTGTTCCTCATTGCCCATGGTCACACATCTCCCTGGACTTTGTAACTGGCCTACCTACTTCCAAAGGTCACACTGCCATCCTCACAAGCTTCCCTCTGCCAAAGAGACAGCTGAACTGGTTCTCAAGAACATCTTTCGTCTCCATGGACTGCCCACTGACATTGTCTCCGACCGGGGGCCCCAGTTCACATCCATGTTCTGGAAGGAGTTCTGCAGTCTAGTTGGGGCCTCTGTCAGTCTGTCTTCTGGCTTCCACCCCCAGTCCAATGGGCAGACAGAGAGAATGAACCAGGACCTGGAAACCACTCTTCGCTGCTTGATCAACCACAACCCTGCTTCCTGGTCTGAACAACTGATCTGGGTAGAATATGCCCACAACACCCTCACCTGCTCTTCTACTGGACTTTCTCCCTTCAAGTGCGCCTATGGCTATCAGCCTCCACTATTTGCCAACCAAGAGAGGGAGACTGCCTGCCCATCGGCACAAGCCTTTGTTCACCGTTGCCGGAGCACCTGGGACCAGGCACGTACTGCTCTCCTCAGGTCTGCTGACCGCTACGCTGCTGCCGCCAACAAGCACCGCACGCCTGCTCCCGCCTACCAGGTTGGCCAGAGGGTCTGGCTCTCCTCCCGTGACTTGCCCCTAAAGGTGGAGAACCGCAAGCTGGCTCCCAGGTTTGTTGGGCCCTTTCCCATTGCTCGCATCATCAACCCTGAGGCGGTACGTCTTCGGCTTCCCCGGTCCATGAAGATTCACCCGACGTTCCATGTCTCCAGGATCAAGCCAGTCCGAGAGAGTCCTCTGGTTCCTCCCATGCCGCCTCCTCCGCCTCCTCAGCTCGTTGATGGCGGTCCGGTGTATGCTGTCAGGCACCTCCTTCGCTCTCGCCGCCGTGGACGTGGGATGCAGTATCTTGTGGATTGGGAGGGGTACGGTCCGGAGGAGCGTTCCTGGGTGCCGGCTCGGTTCATTGTGGATCCTCGGCTCATTTTTGACTTTCACCGTCTGCATCCTGACCAGCCTGCCCCGTCCTCACTCCCGCCTTCTGCGGGCCCATCTGCTGATGGACCTTCTGATCCTCTGGTGGTGGGGGGGGGGCACCGGTGTGGCTGCCTCTTCCTGCTCATCTTCCTCTTTTGCTGCGGAGGACGTGGACTCTGCTGCCTCTGAGGAATTTCTCACGCCCATTACAGGAACAAATGTAGACTGGATGGTTGGACTTTCTTTCCAGCACTCTGGAAAAACTTCCCCCGGGGAGGCTGAGGAGTATGATTCCCAAATAATTGGAGGACACCCTCCGGTCCCCCTTTTTAAGAATGGGAACAACTGCACCTCCGCTGCCAAGACACCCCGGCAATAACCAGAGCCATTTCAGTTCAATTCAATTTGCATAGTGCCAATTCATAACAAAGGTTATTTCAGGACACTATTCACAGAGACCCAACAGTTCCCACTATGTGCAAGCACAGCTGGTTCTACTTTTAACTAAACTCAACTTAATTTAACTAAAGGAACCACAAGTAGCCCTGCATTTAAAGAGTGCAGTGTTCTAGTGGGGTAATAGAGTACTATGAGATCTTGAAGATATGAATGTACCTGACCATGAAGAGCTCTGTAGGTGAAGGGGATTTTAAATTCTATTCTGACTTTTACAGGGAGCCAGTGCAAAGAGGCTAATGCAGGAGAAATATTTACTTTTCCTTTCCCTAGTTCCTGTCAGTACTCGTGCTGCAGCATTCTGAATTAATTGTAGCGTCTTGATGGACTTGTTTGGGGCAGCCTGATAAAGGGCCAATCTCATCCGCACCTGGTGTTAAGGAACTTCTTGACTACGGGCGGCTGTGGCGCAGAGGCAGAGCGGGTCGTCAGAAGGTTGTTGGTTCGATCCCCGGCTGCTCCTGCCACATGTCGAATTATCCTTGAGCAAGATAATGAACCCCGAACTGCTCCTGATGCTGTGTGTGGATGTGTATAAATGCATTAGTTTCTGTTCGATGGGCTTTGCCATCACTGTGTGTGAAAGGGTGAATGTGGCACGTAGTGTAAAAGGACTTTTAGTGGTCGGAAGACAGGTCCATTTACCATTTACCATTTACCTCAGCAACCTCTGCCAGGGATATGGGTGAGGCTTCCCCTAAATCTTCATCTCCAAACTCCTCCCGCTCCCAGGCTTTTGCTTCTGTAACTGCCAAACTTACAGCCCTTCTGGTGATCCAAGTACCTGTCTGCTGCTTCAGCCCACTGGGCTTTGTCACTATTGCACACAACTCCAGATTTTCACAAATGTATATAATGTTTAGTGTATTTATATCTACTTATAGATATAGTATATTTTATATATATATTTATATAGTGGTACATCTTAAGAAATTCCTTTGTTTTTCCTGGACATAATCAATGAGCATCACCCATTGAAACCGCCATGGATAACATTGGTCGATCAACTGAAAACTATTGTTTGTAGAAAGTTATTCAAATTAGGGTAATGGAAAAGTAAAACCCAGGTCCATACTTTCTGTTATTTCATGTTAGTACATCTGGAAATAATTTTTTCAATTTTTTTACATTAAAATGAATGAAGGCATATCCTTTTTCTTTTCAGGCTCGGCAGCACTGCCCAGCAACATGGCCTTCCTAGCGAGTGGACAAGCAAAAGAGCCAGGTGGCACTCAGCATGTTACTTCCTGTCTTTCGACCAATCACAGGACTGCTACTGAGGAGAAGAACATGAGCATTTTCAGTAGAGTAGCAAGAGGTACTTATCTGTGAGGAGAGTAATTCAGGGCTGGGGGGGAGTATTTAGTTAAGTACACATATCATCGTATCAATCTTTTTGAGTGTGTAATTTCTTAATGATTGAAGAAACTTTAAATGAAATAGAGGATTAATTTATCAAACAAAATGCTGCACTCACATTTGTTTCTTTGTTTGTATCTCAGATAAATATATTTTTCTGCCTCTCCATCTGTCTGTGTTTGTGCCTCTGTATCTCTCTCGCATTGCAGTACAGCAAGACTCTAGATCTCTGAGAGGGAGTGGAGGCTCTGCAGCGGTCAACTCCTTTTGCCCTCTAACCTCCCGGGCACAGAGGAGGAAGGAGAGGGAGAGGAGAGAGGAGGAACTGCAGAGGATGAGGAAAGAGGGGATGGAGGAAGACAGGAGAGAGGAAGCTGAGGGACACCTCCTGAGACCTAGCGAGCTCTCCCTACAGTTCAGGAGGACAAACAAGGTCTGATAATCCTTTCTACATGCTTCTCTGTTTGAAAGATGTCTTGTTGTATCATCAATTATGAAGACTGAATTTGAAAATAGTACACATTGGAGAGTTCAGTGAATTGTGGAGCAGTATTCTCTTTATCATGTTGATCACACATTTAAAATTGCAGAACATAAACAGTAAAAGCAAAGGGCTATCATGGAAAGACCTGGATGCAGGGTCTACTAGCAGTTTATCCACAGCACAAAACATCCAGCATCCAGTATGATCAAAACTTAAGCTAACAGGATTTTATCATTGACAATGACCAACAATTACTTTTACATTATTTTATTGTTTAGAAGCTTTCATGTTATGAGACCCAGTGATTCAAAATCAGCACTAAGATATGTGACTACATGGGCCACACACAAAACATAACACTTTATATTATTTATATTAATACCTTGTTTTATTTGGAATGGTAAATGATAAATGGACCTGTACTTATAGCGCCTTTCTAGTCTTCCGACCCATCAAGGTGCTTTTACACTTCGTGCCACATTCACCCTTTCACACACATTCACTCAGGGATGGCAAAGGCCATGGAACAAAAACTAACGCATTCACAACAAGAGCAATTTGGGGTTCAGTGTCTTGCTCAAGGATACTTCGACATGTGGCGGGAGGAACTGGGGATCAAACCACCAACCTTCCGATTAGTGGACGACCCGCTCTTCCTCTGAGCCACAGCCTTTCTAGTCTTCCAACCACTCTAAGCGCTTTTACACTACGTGCCACACTGCATAGAACATGACTTTTCTGCAGATAAAAACAGTTCATTCTAGGGTAACTAAAACACAAGTCTTATTTTAAGGTGATTTACACTAATGAAAACATGTCTATGAATAATATATTCTATTTCTGATAATAGATCCTAAATGTTACACACTGGACCTTTTTAAATAACAGGTCGTATAAGGCAACATCCTCAAGGCACAAAGTCTCTTTCAACTGTTAAGGGTGATACAACTCTTGATGACACAAAACAATACAACCCACCAACATTTGACAGTAGTCATACAATTCAAAATAATCTCAAAAATGTTTTATCATTTCATTTGTGCACTAATAAACTAAAAGGTTAATTTATAAATGGCTTTAATTGTATTTGCCATATTGTGATACAGCAGATACAATTGTAGATCAATGTGAGAAATATATTTTTTTATTCAATAGCTACATTTTGATAGGTTGATGCAGCATACATACATGATGCCTGCTGTTTATTGATGGCAGTACTTGTTGACTTACTGACAGACTGCAGACTTTGTATTTCTTTATTAATTTATATTATCGGGCAATTCTATAATACCACTGCCTTTTTCTTCTGTGTGTGAGCCGTTATACTGGCACTCTACAACACATCTATCTATCTATCTATCTATCTATCTATCTATCTATCTATCTATCTATCTATCTATCTATCTATCTATCTATCTATCTATCTATCTATCTATCTATCTATCTATCTATCTATCTATCTATCTTTTAACAGCCACCTATTAAATGATAAAAGAAAAAGCAGTAATGGTTTTGAATGTAAATGGTAAATGGACCTGTACCTGTATAGCGCCTTTCTAGTCTTCCGACCACTCAAAGCGCTTTTACACTACTTGCCACACATGACTTTTCTGCAGATAAAAACAGTTCATTCTAGGGTAACTAAAACACAAGTCTTATTTTAAGGTGATTTACACTAATGAAAACATGTCCATGAATAATATATTCCATTTCTGATAATAGATCCTAAATGTAACACACTGGACCCTTTTAAATAAGAGGTTGTATAAGGCAATGGACTTGAATTATTGGCTGCCATGGTTTATTTTTACTTTCCTGGTGGCTAGACTGGCTACCTCACATACTTGTAGGCCTACAGGCCTTAAACTACTCGGCTAAGACAGGTACATTTTAAGTTAAATGTTTAAATGTTGTTCTTAGTGACTTGAATTATTGGCTGTTTTGGAGAAGCCATGGTACTATGTTTACTTGGTGGCTAGACTGGCTACCTCATATGTTCAGTGTCAAGCTAAAAAAGCTGTCAAAGAATCTGTTCAGAACAGGCCACTTGCTGCACTTTTTAACTCTCCATTGTTCATTGTAATACTGCACTTTATTTACTTTTCAAAGGCTTGTAAGCTTCAGTTTGCACTGTTTCAATAAATGAAACTAATTTTCTCACCACATCTTTGATTCATTTTGTCCAGCATTTGCAAGCTGTAGACTCTCTGTCCAGTCAGAGCCATATATTGTGTAATTGATGCTTTCAGTTTTCAGTTCAATTAATTCAATCCAAGTCAATGGAACACTTACAAGATGTCACCTAAATCATACTGTCCCTTTAAAATCTTTCACAAAATGATGTAAGTGTATCGAATCGTATCGAATCGTATCGTTGGCTGAATATCGTGATGTATATCATAGATAGATAAGATAAGATAAGATAAGATATTCCTTTATTTATCCCCCTTTTTCAGGTTGACACAGCAGCAATAGGGCAAAGTAGTGCAAAAACACAAACAAAGAATATCACAATAAAAATATTACTAATATTATTAATATTAGAAGATATTAAACTATAAATTAAAGTATATACACTATGCATTGTTCTATACACTATGCATTGTTGTGTGTGTAGTTATTCCCAGCACTTAACACAAGCTATCATGGTCTCTTTCTGTTGCAGGTTGCCATGGTGACAGGATTCTCTGAACAAAGAACTTCCTATGTCAGATCCATTCCTCCCGTAAAGCCTTGCACAGGGGTTGGCAGCAGACAATCCCCCAGGCCTAGCAGTACCTGTAAATTAGGCCATCCCCAAAGCAGACCCCGGGAAATTAACAACAAACACCTCTCCCGGCATAGCAACCAAGAGCTGCCTCGCAGTCAGCACCTTCCTCCCCACCACCGGCCGGTCCCTAACTATTGTAGCAACCCCAAGACCTTCATTAGTCTCCAGAACTCAGGAAGAAATTTAATCAGGAGTCCAGCTCAAATACCATTGAATAATGGCTCTGTCATCAGACAGCTAAGTGAAAACCCTGGAGTCCTAAGGTTGTCCAGAAGGAGGAGAGGCCTCCCACCAGACACCAGCCCTCTGAATCGGGTTCCTTTGGACAACAACTCTTTAAACAAGTGCAGGACATTGCAATACAATGATGGTGATGTCCTTTTGGAGAGTGACTGTCATATTGCTGAGATTCCACAGACGGAAGCCGATAGTGAGAAAGATGTGAGAGCGGTGTATGTTAACCACATGGATAAAATCACTGGTAGTCATGATGAAGTATTTAAACAAGACAAATGTGGCCACATTGGAGAGATGACACTAGAGAGGGGCAGTTGTATCAGCGAAGACCTACAGGACAAGGTAAATGTCGGAAAGTTAAGTTTGGAGAGCAATACCAACGTCATCACAAACTATGACCTCAGCCCTGTCAGTAAGGTCATATGCAGACATGTGAGAGAAAAAAGGCTTCAGAGAAAGCAGTCTGCGTCATCCACAATCCCTAAGCCAAATATCAGGACTAATGTTTCCAGGACTTTTGCAAGAGCTGCTACTGCTAGGACTACTGTAACTGAAGCTGATATCAGCTCAGTGACATCTGCGCATGTACACACTGACCAACCAGCAAATTATTCTGCCAAGCACACTGCTAAGGGTACTTACAAAGGTAATAGTAAGAACATTACCAAGTGTACTTCACCAGCCTGCAGTTACTCCATCCACAATTCCAAAGGTGCTGCAAAGGACTCTTCCAAGGGCACCACAGAGGACTTGAGTGCAACTGTCAGTAACAATTGTAGCACTTCCAAGGGCTCCACAAAGGCCCTTACCCAAACCAAGTCGCCTACCTCAGCCATTAAGACCAGGACCAGCCCTAGAATCCTTCAGAAGCGCTAACATTCACCTTCACCTACAGATTCACTATTTGCTATATTGAGAATTAATGTTGAAGTCAAGGCATGATGATGGTTGCTGGCTGGTTGGAAAGTGACATAGTGACTGTGTAATGTATGCTAAATCTGTCCATAATTTGGGGATTTTGTATAGAATTTGAATTCTATATGTCAAATAGATAATGGACAGTATAGTGATTTCAGATGCTTCTCTTCTGAATCTGAAATTACAGCTTGATATTTTTGTATTATTATATCACATTGATGAGGTTTTATCAAAGCACATAGTTTAACTTCAGTCAGTATGCTGAACAGTTTTCAGTAGCTTACCTAGAGAAAGATGCCATGGCCAAGGCAAGATGCCATTGCTCTGGAGTTTTTTGACAGCCATGTTACTATACCTATTTACTGTCATTTCATTTTAACAGGAATACTCTGTTCAACAATCGATTACATAAAAGTCCTAGGGATTTCTCACCTAGAAGCCTCACCAGAATTAAAGTTAAAGAATTATAGTTTTTTCTTTCATACTGAGTCTCCTGCCGGGACCCCTGTCTGCTTCTCCAAACTCACACTAATGTCTGTTTACTGCAGGTTACACACTATGTACACTAAGTACCTCATACACCTGACTTAAAAAAAGCGAGTCTAAGTAAGACAAATGAAGTGGAGATTTTCCAAACTTGAAGCCATTTTTATTCAAGATTCCTCCTTTCTGGTTACCTGGACAGTGCCCCCCCCTTATTTTAACAGTATGAACAGGAGAAATGATTACAGATTTGTTCTAATGTGCATATGGGCATGTGAGTATTGTTTTCAGAAAGACTTAAGAAAGAAAAAAATGGAACCTATACTCTAAGAAATCAGTGGCAGGAAAGCACATGGAAACATTCTTCCATTCTATGCACACCTTCTCTGAACTAAAGCCACCAGAACCATTTGTCTGTGTAAAACCAGCTGCACAGCCACCAGCCAAACTGATCACTAGTGGTTGACTGATATGGGTGTTTCACTAGCTGATGCCAATGCCAAGATTTTGAGAGCAAGGCTGCCAGTGGACAATATATGATGCTGATATCAAAACAAAGAAAAATCATGTGTAATTTGATTTTGTCCTATAAGAAATACATGCATATGTTTACAGCAGGATGCATGAGAGTTATAGTACAGGGCTTGACACCAGCTTTTTCCCCACCTTCCCAAAACTCACAAAGCGCTGACAGCCACACTGACAAAGCTGCCTACAGATGTCTCTGAAGAAATTTTTAGTCTATCGACCTTGTTAGTGCAGACATTGGCCAATGCCAATAATCTCAAAATACCAAATAATCGGCCAGATTAATCATCCAACCAATTCATTGGTCTAGCACTAGTCTTCACCAGCCTGTGTAACATCTACTGTAATATCTACTGGTCAAAAAGTGGTGGTGTTTTTATTTACTGATTTTATTTATTTTATTTCCCCCTGCCACTGAAGCCTTTTATGCCTGTACGCAAGTACCGATAAGAAGTTTTTGTGTATGCTTTACTAAACATGAAAAAAATAACAAAACGACAGACTTGGAGTGTAGCGGGAGTCGGTATTGATATTTTACATGCTTACCTCCATGTGCATCAATTGATTAACATTTGTAGAAATATAAGGATACTAGTATGGGTTTAGGGCTGTACCGAATGTGTTTTTTATTTATTTTTTACGTTTTCAAATTCCTTCTGTGATATTTTATGATGTAATCACCCTAAAAACAGAAATTTCTGGAACAAAATGCTCAATTTGAATAAAGTGATTCACTGGATTGAATGAGTTAGTCTTTAAAGGGGAATAAGTAGGATTTGTCGGTTGTTGTTTGTAGAGAGATATAATACAATAATGCAATAATTACACAATTTCACTGTTATGCAGATGATACGCAGTTATATCTATCGATCAAGCCCAATGAAATTAATCATTTATCTAAATTACAAACATGTCTTAAGGACATAAAATCCTGGATGAGCTGCAATTTTCTGATGTTAAACTCAGAAAAAAACGAAATTCTTGTTCTTGGCCCCAAAAACCTTAGAGACTCACTGTCTAAAGATATAGTTACTCTAGATGGCATTACCTTGGCCTCTAGCACACTTAAATAGAGCAGGTCTAGACCGTACGCCTTATAACATTATTTACAGAGACCCAACATTTCCCACCTTGAGCAAGGATTTGGCGACGGCGGCAAGCAAAACTACATTTTAAGAGGCAGAAACAGCAGAAACCTCGGATAGACCCCAGCTCTAGGTTGGTGGCCATCCTCCTCAACCAGTTGGGGTGAGAGAGAGAGAGACAGAGAGGTAAAGACAGAAGGACAGAGACAAAGGTGCACAGCAACAACTACACTAATAGTAGTGACTGATGATGACGACGACGACAACATTGATGGGGGACAATGAGCAGTGATTATAGTAATAATAGTAATAATAATGATAACAATAACATCAGTGATATTAGCAATGGGAGTCAAGCAGGACCATGGCAGGAGGCTCCACCAGGATCCATAAGAACCTGCGAGACGAGAAAGCACAAGAACTCCGGGGAAGAAGTGAAGTTAGTAACATGCATTAATGGGACATGAATGAGTGCAGAAAGAGAGAGAAAGGAAGGGAGGAGCTCAGTGCATCAGGGAAATCCCCTGATAGTCTAGGCCTAGGCCACAAGTAGCCCAGCATTCAGAGAACGCAGTGTTCTAGATGGGGTAATAGGGTACTATGAGCTCTTTAAGATATGAAGGGGCCTGACCATGAAGAGCTTTGTAGGTGAGGAGGAGGATTTTAAATGTATTCTGAATTTTACAGGGAAGCTAATACAGGAGAGATATGATGACGGGGTGGCTGTGGTCCTTCTGTCATTAACTCTGCCTTCTGTCTGTCTCTCTCTCTCACATCAACTGGTCAAGGCAGACGAGCACCCACCTAGAGCCGGGGGCCTGCCGAGGTTTCTACCTCTTAAAAGGCAGTTTTTCCTTGCCGCCATCGCCAAGTGCTTGCTCATGGTGGTACTGTTGGGTCTCAGTAAATAATGCTATAAGGAGTTCGGTCTAGACCTGAATTGACCATTTGAAATTGTCCGGAGATAACTTCTGTTATGAATTGGCGCTGTACAAATAAAAATTGAATTGAACAAAGGTATGCTTTTTACTAGTGTTTTACGTATCAGCAATTTTCTCTTGGTTGGTATTTTGAAAAAGTTACCACATCTCTCCTTTTTAAGCATGTAATGCTTTCTGCTATTAAAAGTACCCCTTGTCTTATCATTGATCACTAATTAATGAGCTAGCTATCAGGTTAGATAGGCACATATTGCTAAGTATCGATAGACAAATAAGTCACTGCAAACAATTGAACGATCTGGCTTCTTGATACAGTGACTTGTGATTACCAGTTTATTGAACAACTAATTAATTCTCACTCATATTACAGCAAGCAGTGTTTCATACAATCCTTATGTCTTTTATGGGTGCATAAAAATAACCATCTGCCATTATTCTTTAACATTTACTACTGTAGTGCATTTGTTGGCTAAATGTGTTGGGTTTCACCAGGGACTCAGTGGTTTGAAGTTCATTTGAAAAACATGGAGTGGAGTACCACTTTACTGAGTATCTCCACTATTCTAGATGTATTAGCTGTGCTGCAAATCTCCAAAGTCCAAAAATGTCCAATATATGTGTGCTCCTCCACGCAGATACTGACATTTCATGTGGACGAACAACGGCTATGGAACTTGGATTAGTGGAAGAGTGACAGACATAGGTAGGAATAGCCTTTTCTATTTGAGCAGTGACATCTAAGCTAACTGCAAAAGTCTGTATAAATGTGAATGATTTGAATAAAAAATTACAATAAAATCACTTTGTGTATATCTGCCAAGAGCATTTACCTAATTTAAACAGAGACTATTTCCACACATTGCACAAAGTGTTGACCAAACTAAATACCCTCCTGAAAATGCTAACCAAACATTTAGGAGGCTCTACTGCCAGAAATGTAATATAATATTCATAGGTATGTTTACATTAATGTATAATCACCTGAAAATGAGAACTGTTGTCTTTTGTTAACTTAGAATGAGATGTGTTAAACCGCCACATTTCTACAGTAGCCGAGACAGGGTGGTGGAAGTGGGGAAGAGTATAGGGCACCAACAAACTCAGGTTAGAATGGATTTATTAAAATACTCAAATGAAATGTATTATCTAACTTTATTATAAAGTTATGAGTTAGGCTATACAATGGACAAATCAAACGCTATGTAGAGCTCCGGTGCAGTAGGTGGCGGCATGCATCTTTAACGTCGGTTTGTAGCCTGCCAGTAAAACCAAAGAAGGTGTGACATGTGATTTTTGCCCTAAGGAAAGTCTTTCAGGCAGACTTTTCCTCTCATGCAGGCTTTCTCATGTTGCGTAAAAGTCATTTCCTGTTTGCTACAGCTTACGTAACCCCATCCTGAATCTTCTATAACGCATTGTATTAACTCTGAGCCTGCTGTGTAGGAGTCACCGAGGTCTATAGACGAAGACGAGTAGGGGGGCTGCCTGTGAGGCTTTGGTTCAGGACGAATAGAAACACTTTAAAAACACAACGAATGCGGTACAGAGCAAATAGGCCAGAGTGACTTGTTAACACTTCAGTGTTGTTGGCAAGCTGAAATTGAAAAGAGTCATGTTTGAAACCTTCAGAGAAAGACTTCATATGGTCCAGCAGGATTTCACAACGGGGTTGGTCTACTTTCCGATGTATCAACCCCTGCTAGCTGTGGCAAACCTCATACCTCAGCTATAATTAACTAGCCTGTGATGTGTGCGTTATGCCATGTAGCGTTACGTGTAAACCTTCTTTCAGTTGTAGAGGTGTGATTATCAGCTATAGTGGATATGCCAGCTAAGTTACAAACATATTTCTTCCTTTACGTTGTCTTTGTGGATAGCTGTAGCGTCAATTTATGGTGCACCTCGTCTTGTTACCCTCCCTAAATTTAAATATAACGTTAGTTAACGTTAGTTATAACGTTATGTATTGTCAGTGTTAACTACGTTCGAGTTTCTGTTTAGTCTTCCTAACTTGCTCTGTCGTAGCTGTTCCTGGTTATTATTTTCAGCTGACGATCATGTGATCACTGTTTTTTCGTTGATTTCCCTGCTCACTCTGACCTCGCTGCCGTGTGTGTATAGTACTGTTGCTGAAAGGGTTGTTCAAAATCCGTTGCTAACGTTATATAAGTTAGTCTTTTAGCTTTGTGTACAAAAGCCGCTATGTTCTACAACTGCCAACTTTTATACGTTAGTTGTCAATCTCTCTCTCTCTCTCTCTCTCTCTCTCTCTCTCTCTTTCATAATCTCTCAATTTTCAGTTGAATTCAATTCAGAGGGGCTTAAGTGGCAAAGCAAGTGTGAAATATCTCTCTCTCTCTCTCTCTCTCTCTCTCTCTCTCTCTCTCTCTCCACCCCCCAAGCTTTAAGACCCTTGGAGACAAATCAAGAGACACCAAAATCAGGCGGCGACCCAGGTGCGCAAAAAACAGTTGTGTGTATGTGTGTTGATTGTGAGGGCAACCATTTACAGCATACTGACATTAGAAATGTAGAAACATAATATGATAATTAGCCTGATCAGCCAGCGACAGCTTTCAGTACACAAAAGCACAGAATTTAATAGTAAATTACACATGCCCTTTCATTTGAAAATCTTGACATTTACTTGGGAACAGTGACATGGCTGGATAGCTAGCTAGTCTTGTTGTGAAACATGCATTTAAATTATATTTACTGCTGGTCAACTGTACATAGTGTTATAAGGGGCCTGAGCAGCATCCGTGATGGTGGCCCTATTGAAACTGATTATTACTTCACACATTGAATTGCACTTTTAGTGGACTTTTTATGTGAGCATAATGAATCTAAAACATTTTTACATTTCTCACTAACATTATGATTTGCATCGTTGCTTCAGCAAAGCATCTCTTACTAATTCCTGATAACCTTGTTGGTCATTATGTCTTCGATACTGCCCCCAGAAACATTCTGCAATTCTCCTGTTTATTGTTCAGGTTTGAAGAAAGCTTTCCTCATTTCAGTGCTGGACTGGAAATCCTCAGCAGGTCTCTCTACACACACATATACTCTCTCTCTCTCTCTCACTCTCACACACACACACACACACACACACACACACACATTGAATTTACAAAAAGCTTTGATGTATAGAGGATTTGTTTATGTTGTAAAATTTGTTTCTGTAGGTATGAGGAGAGTTGGTTTCTGCTCCATAAAAGAACCAAAGACTGTGCTCAGGCTGCAGAGGTAAGATCAGTATTTCTCTGTTCTGCTCTGTTAGAGTTGCAACAACACCACTTCTTTAGATACCATTAAATTCTAGAACAAATGAAAATTTTAACCTGACATATTGCACCCATATTTAACAATGTTATACCAAAATGTGACGCATGCTTACGTAAGCATGAACCAACCAATTTCAGCCGATAAGATAATCATATCTATCCATAAATCTTTAACTTTTAGTGACAAAGGGCTAGTTAGCTAGCTAGCAACAGCATGGTTTTCCACCGTAGCAGAGTGTTTCTGGTCGGGCCTCACTGATTACTGCACAAAAACACAGCTTTATCACTTCCAAATTCAAGATTGTCAGATCCAGTCTTAAATTGTTTTGGCATCACATCAGCTTAATTTGCAACATCACAGAAAAGACAACATAAATACACATGCCTAACATAAATACACAAAAGACAATATTCAAGGCCCTTCAAAGTGCACATGCTCAAGCCCCCTTTGAGGTCAATGTGTGCATGTGCCTGCTGAAGTTTCATTCATAAACAGTTGTCACAGACCACAGTAACTGCAGCCAATGTTTAGAGAAAGATACAGATTTTTCAGGCATTTTATTGTTGGACATTGTAGTTATTGCAACTTCTACATACTTTTTTCTCAAAGATAGAGGAAGAGAACTTATTTCAGCCATAACTTAATTTTGACCAAAATTGTAGTTACTGTGGTTTGGCTTTGTAAAGCAGTGTAGTAAGCTTCAGTCATATGCAACACTTGATCAGCTGACTGTGGTTACTGCTTTTTTCTTCCCTACTTATGAGAAAATGTCTGTATCTTTTAGCAGACTTTCACACACACAGAGGAGTAAGCGTTTTCAAATGTCAGTAACTTGAACACTGACAGGATACGTTATGTTATAATGCTTTAAATGTAATAGCGAATGACTTAATAGTGATTGCTTTGTTGCTATATTTACTACAGCTGTCTTAAATCTGCCCCTCTGTGTCTGTCAGGCAGTAGATGGGGACATAGTGATGCTCTCAGCACACTGGGAGAGAAGAAGAACAGCTTTGACACAACTACAAGAACAGCTGCAGAGCTTGCCGGCCTTCATCAGTGAACTTGATGCCATCACAGCTAACATAGGTATGGAGTCTGTTTCATTCCTGTCCAATAAAAGTTCAATGATTATTGAAGAAATAATTGAAACTCAATTCAATATTATGAAATGTTATTTCATCATTTTCATAGTAGCAGTTTTATTGGATGTCATTTTCATTTAATTATAGATATTTTGGTTGGAAATCAAAAGTGTTTTGTTTTTTTCAAACAGCTAGATATTAGCGGCAGGAGAGATATATAATTTATATGGGCATAATATTGCGGACTTTCCCTTTCAGTCTTTCCTGGAAAACCCTCTTAGTAGTGCCCTCAGTTGTTCACATGAAAATAAAGAACTAGAGAAAGAAGTTCATACCTGACATTAAATACTTTTCCTTTAGAAGGTTGTCTTTTCATATTTGGGGGTTCTACTTTAACAGGTTTACATGCTTTAATGTTCAAATAATGCATTATTTTTTGTCATAATGGCTATTGCTGCCAACCTCATGAGTAGACCAGTCTGCACAGTTTGGTCAGCTCCCACAAGCCTGGGCTGGCACCCCACTGCCATGTTTCAGCATCAGCTCAGCTCCAGCTCAAGTTTTTGTGTCTTGCTACGAGCAAGGTAACTTAGCTGCTTATTGTTAGTCAAAGTTGCAGATAAGAACTTTTTTATTCAGTATTCTATACTGGTGGAGGGCAAACCTTTATGAATCACTGGTTGATGTTGAATCATACAGAGAGGGTCATCCACTAATCAGAAAGTTGGAAGTTTGGGCTTCTACCGCAGTGTCAAAGATGCTCTGCATCACTGTATAATTGTGTATGAATGTAGGATGAACAGTTTTGAGTCCTGTGTAAAAAATGACAACTGTGTTGTATTTGTGTTCAGCTTCTGCTGCATGTGTTTATCAATTTGAATTTGAAATGTTCAACCCGAGTATTTTATGGCACATTTGAAATTGTATTCACAGAAATGGAATCTTATGGTTTGAAATTGAATTTTACTTTTTAACAAATTTTTAACAAAATTAGTTTCTCAAAATTCTGTTTTCAGATTGTAAAAAACTGTATTGTGTGTGTGTGTGTGTGTGTGTGTGTGTGTGTGATTTGTCTCCAGCACATTTGGAAGGTGACTTTGAGGAGATGGAGAGCAGACTGGTATACCTGGAGACTCTGTGTTGTCAGTGTGAACAACAGACATTCAAACAACATCATATCAACGAACTTGAAGTCTATAAGAAAAAGAAGAGGTATCAGATCACTTACTCACAGGTGTCTTATGAGGCAGATTTTTTTCTCTTTTCAATCAATAATTTTTGAATGTGAGATAGTGTGGTATAGTAGTATACCAAAGAGAACATCTCTTTTTATGCACTTGAAATGAAATAGTGTAGACAGCAGGATTATTAAAAGAGATTTTTTGGCAGAACTTCTGACTAAAGCTGCCTTTGGAACTTCAGACAAAACTGTACTAATCATGTATGTAATTTTGTTTCCCCAATTACCACCTGAATTCACTGAATAGCAGAAAAATCACCATACTTAACCATTTTCTTGCTGTTGCAATTTTCCACAAGTCCTTTCTTGTGTTTCCTGTATGTCAGCTAAATGTCACGTTAAAAATTGTTTTCTGGCCACACACACACAACCCTCACTCAAAGATCTGGAAGACCAAGAAAACTCTCTTAAGTGAACTGCAGCATCTTATGCTGGTTAGAAAGCAAAATCAAACCCCCATCAAAACCTGCAGGAAGACTGAGTTTGAGACATGAACGCTTGTGAAGAGAGGATTTCTCCCAATTCCAATTGACACAATTAGGCATACAAATATGAATATGCCAGATTCAACTTGGAGCCTCTCCGCTTTGATGTTATGTCATCATCAATAAGTGGGTCCAGTCGAATTGTCAAAAGTAGATCCAATGTCCTTTCTAAACACTTTTCCTTGACCTCGAGGGAAAAACGTCATGACGTCAAGGAAAGATGTGAAAGAGAAAGGAATTAAGAAAAGACAACCGCGGTACTGAGAGAATCCAACTACACTTTATCTACGTAATAATGCGACGGTGGATGTTGATGATGTGTGTCAGCTGTAGTGAAACTACAACAATCTGAAGATAAGACTACAAAAAGCGCATTTTAGATACTTTGCACTCTTACTGCGTTATTTCATGTAGGTGATGTACATCAGTTATTATGTGTTTAATAGGCCTACAAATCTACAACTGTACATTTCATAATCTTCTACTGCACATTGCAAATATTCTTCATACTTAATACTGTGAACTTTGGCACAGTCCTGCACAAACTGTTCCTTGTCCTATGCTTATTGTTATGTACCAATATACCGAGGCAGATTCCATTATGTGAAAACTCATTCTGACTCTGATCATTCTTAAGTTTCAGCATCTGGGAGTGAAGAACAATTCAAATATTTCAATTATATTCCTAAAGGCTGGCAATACAAAGCCCAAAATGAGTAATAACTAATGCTAATGCTACGTTATGCATTGACTTATAAACTTCACTTGGATCATTTTAATATAATAATCTTTATACATTACATAACATTTCATAACAAGTAGCTCACCTATAATAGGTTTATTATTTGCAGCCAATGTATCATATGTTCAAAGTTCAAAATATAGAAGCATATTAACAAGTTATGACATAAGATAAAAACATTGGTAACTTAGAAGTTAACGTGTGTCCTTTCTTGGTAATATTGATCATATTCGTAAGTGGGCTGCTTTTTAAATGCTGCTGCAAGGAATTGTGGGTTGGCATTATTTCCTTTGATATCTAAATGATGGTTCAGAGTATCCTATGCTAAATGAGATAATAAAGGAAACCTTTCCTTAGTGTTTAGAGAATTGGAACAGCTCTTATCATGGCTATCACTCAAATAGTTTTGTGTCCTTTCACTCCATTAGGAATCTTCCTACTAAAAAAGCATGAAAAAGACCATTTGACTGGACCCAGTTTTCTTGATACTGTTCATTTAGTCAGAGTAATAGATTGACATAAAGCTAATTTGTCTGATGATGTTTGTGTTTTCATGGGAACTTGTCTTATGTTTATCTTGTAACAGGAGGGAGTTGGACGTACTGGAAGGTGAGCTGCTGTACTGTCATATTTCCACACATCTGGTGTAACTTTTTTTGTGGGGATACAATGGACAAGCCATGGTGACAAGCTTCGGATTTTGGAATGACGGGAAAGATGCGGGCTCCCCCCAGGACTTCAAAATAAATTTAGGAAATCATCATAGGATTAATATGTTGCCCCATCCTTGTTATGGATATTAGAGGATGTTCTAAAAATGATGTGTCTTCTGTTTGTAGTGGAACTGAATTCTCAGCATGCTCAGAAGCTGGCAGAGCTGGAGCAGGGCATGCAGCAGAAACTGAAAGAACGACAAAAAGTGTATGAAGAAGCCTTTAACCAAGACATGAAGCAATACCTGTCCACCGGATATCTGCAGCACAGAGGCAAGTCACTATTATTTACAGCAACAATGTTTTACTTACTGTAATTATTAGCCTATAAAATCATTAGTAGAAATACAGATTTTTATGGCAAGGTAAAGTTACAGGGATATGCTCACCATTTTCACACTAATGTTTGAAAATGCATCTGCATTCATCCACAAAATGCTGCAGCTTTTCAAAAATAAATCTCCCGACTTGAGAAAAGCAGGCCTGTGTCAGAGGTGTTAGAGAAGAGTTACTTTGACAAAGCAAGTAAATATAGTGTAAAGGTATTTATCAAAATAACTACTTGAGTCTCCTACATCAGAACAATAACAAAAGACTTGTTGTTGTCTTCACTGCCATGGTCATCATTGCAGTCAGCTTCTTCCGATTAGGATTCCTTCAGTGTAGGTTGAGTATTTAAATATATATGCGTAAATTGCATGTAATATTAATTGTGTTAATTAAGTGTGTGTTTGTAGAGCCAACAGGAGCTGATCTGTGTGCCCTGGATGAGATGACTGTAACTAACATATCAGACCAGGAGGCTTTGGATGACTTCCTCAACTCCACTGGTGATGACATCAGTACTGGATCATCACTGACCTCTGGTAACTCCAACTCAGTTTCTCTACAACCTGAAGAAAATTCAAGACATACAGCGATCAGCCATAACATTATGACCGCTGACAGGTGAAGTGAATCACACATTATCTGGTTACCATGGCACCACCTTTGACAAGGGCCAAATTGTTATTGCTAGACGGCTGGGTCAGAGCATCTCCAAAACTGCAGCTCTTGTTGGGTATTCCTGCTCTGCAGTGGTCAGTAAAACTGTATCATTCATTTTTTGGCAGAAAAACACCACAAGAACCTGAAGGATACACATCCATCACCATTTTGCAGGCTTATGAAGTTGTTATGGCTAATTTGTGCTATTTCGTCACTGGCTTTTTCCTCAGTAACTTTTAATATACAAATCTTTTCTACGGGTGGGACATAAATTATGGGAGGATCAACTACTGCAATGAAAAACACCTGCTGAATTGTACAGCGGTGGGACAAAAAAACGTGACCTGATCTATCTCTTGTGTGAATGCTCTATTCAAAAATCAGATGTGACAGGGAAACTCCTCAATCAAATTAGGTCTACAGATACTAGTCCACAGCAAATTAAGCTTTAGTTACTCAGTGAAATAAGAGTTGTCTTTTCTAACAGGTCCAGACCTTGAGTCCTGCTCCTCTGAATCTGTGAGAAGCCAAATGACCCAAGTGACCCAAACCCCTCCCACAATCAACCAACTGTCCAACCAGGATGCAGTATGGGAGCAAGTAGAGGAAGTCGCCAGTGAGGAGAGTGATGAGCCTTTGGTGCAGTCAGACGAGGAAGACATTCAATCAGACATGTCATTGGTTGGACTACAGGATGTTGGCACAGTGCAGGGCTGTGATGAGAGTGACCCTAGTGGGGACGTGCCCTCTGGGTAACCCAACAATCAGGCCCTTGAAACTCCTTAAATACTGGGTACTACTGTGACTTGACACAGCTCCTATCTCCAGCCAACATCAAAGTGCCTCTTCCCACTGAAGTCTGATGTCAAAAACAGATATGATTTGAAACCAATGCTTTAAGACAAATCCTGAATTTATAAGGTGTGGATACTTGTGCTGTGAGAAAATGTGATCAGAGTCAGTAATGCAAACTAACGGATACATTGTTTCACTATACCCAGCAATTGATTAGTCTTTCATTATAAATGATAAGGTGGATGATATTCAATGATTTTCTTTTTGTAATCAAATACCAAGAAAAACAAAAATGAAAGTTTTGTCAGTTTATTCAAAGCTATATCCAATACTTCAAGCTGAATTGGTGTCCCAAAACTATTAAAAACATCAATGATGAGACATTTATACCAAAAACAGCTCTGCAAATATGCAAGGGGCTGAGCTGCTTTCACATGCAAAAACATTGGTTTGTGTGACAAATCTAAAGGCTTATCAGAGACCAAAACACTGCACAGCTGTTTCTAAGACTATGAGTAAGGGTTTTACAATTCTTTAGAGTTATCATGGCGATAGTTATTTCACTCTCAGTTGTGATAATTTTTAGGTAAACTGTAGAATACCTGTTTAAAATTCACAGTCAGTATTAAGACTCACAAACACATTGGTTTGGGCCTTTTCATTGGATTTACTGACAAAAAGACACTCGACTAATACTTTAGCATTTCTGCTTTGTGTTTTATTTAAACTGTTTTAGTCTGACAATTAGATAAACAAGTCTGTTCCTTACCCATTCAATAAAAATATCAATATGTCTGTATATCACTGAGCTGTGTCTTGTGAGGTTTATTTGTAATTCCACAAAACTCCAGCAGGCCCATGCAGGACTCTGTGTTGCCTATCCTCCTAGTACCCAGAGGGAGGGAGGTGTGGTATGTCCCCATGGCTCAGAGTGTAGGCTTTTGCAGAGTGAAGTCTGTTCTCAGTGACAAATACATACAGATCTGTGTTATACACTTGTCTCTTTTATGAAACGTCTGTATCCTTATTGCAATGCAGTATTATCAACTATGATGAACTTGTGTGGGTCTCTCACCCTTTTTCAGGGGCACGTGACTTCCAGTGATTTCTTCCAGCCTCCAGTGAGCTCTAGTGAGACAATGCATGGCTATGTGTCCCCTAGCCTTAAAAAAAAGTTTATCTGGATTTATAAGCTGCCAGAATTGATGGGGCTAAAAAATACTAGTTTAAACAATAGGCACTCTGCAGCTAATTCACTAAAATATCTTTTAAAATAATTGTCTTGGAATGCATTTTACAGAAAAATGTTAACCAACAGAATAATATCAGTGAATATCCCTTATATGTGTGCTATTATGCCCAAGAAGAGGAGGGGTTTGGTTTTTTTTTTAATGTATTTTCTATATTTTTATTTATTGTTAAATAAAAAAAAAAACAAGTTGTGCTCTTGGTTTTAAGCTTGTAATTAATTAAAAACATATAATTGCAAAATGCATTCATTTATGTGCTTTCTTAACCTGTGTGTGTAGATGTGAGAGGATTTTTTTATTTTATTTATTGGAGACATACATGATACATTGGTGACAAGTGATTACTGTGCGACATTAAACTGAATACACATACAAGCAACATAAAGCAAGACAAAACATGAAAGTGTCTGTGGGGGTATGGAGAAGAGGACTAACATAATTAAAGGGCAAAAGGAGAGTGAAAAAAGTATATATTATAAGACAATAATTATAATGTCAATAATTGTATCGTGTATTAAATAAATAACCAAATAGGTGTCTAAGTGGAAGAAATATTTGTTCCACTTATTTATTTAACTTACACACATACACATTATGGTAATTAAATATTAAATAAACATCATAATTAATATTATATATTTAATATATATTATTATTATTATTATTATTATTAATCATTCTAATACTTTACATTTAATCATATTTCAAATAGGAGGAGGCAAGAGGCCCCTCACCACTCAGCCCCCCAGCAATACGGCCAAAAGCTACAGCGGGAGAAAAGCGGGATCAGCCTACCCACAAATATACGTTAAAAAAAAAGAAAATGGTTTCAGTTTTAAAGAAGACAATAAATTGAGTTGTGCCCAGACCCAGGGGACAACACCTGCCCAGTGCAGTTCTTGTATTTCTTCCTGTTAGGACCGCTCTCTGACTGCTGAGGAGTCTGTCTATTGAGGAGTAGCAGTCTCCCTTTGTTGAGGGTAGAAAGCCCTGCCCCCACCTGAGCCGCACAGCCACAGGGCCAAGCAGGGAGCCACCGCCTACAACCTCCCTCCGCCAAGCCACTCCAGCCCCACCTTCCCATCATTATAAATCGTATATATATTTCTCCATATTTTTACACATACGTGAAGAGAATAATAATAAGTAAAGCTGCAAGCAGCGATGAACGGGCCCTCGTACTCCACGCAACTCAGTGTGTGCTGCGGCCGCGTCACGTGCCGCCATAACACGTGCGAGCACAACCTGAAAATTTCACATGAATCAGATCAAAATCGCCACGCAGTGCTTACTTCCTGTTGCCAGTAGGTGGAGCTATCACTATATCTGAATATTATCACATAGATGTGTTCAGGAGGGGACTCTTATCAGACAAGTGAAGTTTGGAGACAAATGGACAATGTACACTCAAGTTACAGCAAACTAGTGTTTTGTGGCGTGACATCAAAATTTGACGTCACGCCACAGACATGCCCACTCACCACATTCATCACATATCATCAACAATTTGTTTTGCATTTTATAAGTAAATTACAGTTTGATCTGATCATCCTGCTAGGAGTAGAGCATGAAAGTATAAAACGTGATATTTCCTGTTGCCACTAGGTGGCGCTCTCACTATTACTGAATATTATCACATAGACATGTTCAGGGTGGGACTCTTATCAAACGTGAAGTTTCATTGAGATCAGATCATGCATGCAGAAGTTATGACAACTCCCTTTTTCATTGCGAATCATCGAAATTGGACGCCATGCCACGTTCGACAGAATGTCGTAAATAGCACAACTTTTAATCATGAATGTCTTTAGATTGTGCTGATTAAATTTTAAGTTGATCCAATAAATTCCCTAGGAGGAGTTCGTTCAAATACAACGTGTGCAAATCTCAGAAAATAGATAGATAGATAGATAGATAGATAGATAGATAGATAGATAGATAGATTGATAGATAGATAGATAGACTTTATTAATCCCCAGAGGGAAATTGGGTCGTCATAGCAGCCAGGTACATTAAAATACAATGAAATACAACAATAGAATAAAATACAACAATAGAATAAAATACAGCAATAGAATAAAATACTTAGAAAAGATTTTAAAAAATTAATAGGTAGGTAAGGTGCAAAGAGTTGTAGTTGCAAGATGGTGGTAATAGTAATGATGACATGATGGTAGTGTTATTGTTAATAACAGTATATAATAATAACAGTATATAATGATAATAATAATAATATTTATAATAATATAATAATAATATTTATAATAATATAATAATAATAATATGTATATATAATATGATGACTGAAGAGATATACATGTATACACATAGATATTATACATTAATATTGATATGATGTAAACATGTGTCATATATTCAGCCTGTGCAAGGTGTGCATACATACATACTATAATATAAATACACAATATATATATGTACACATATATATATACACACAAGATATGATATGATATAAAGCATATGTATAATAGATACTTGACTATACAAAAAGATATACATAAATGGTAAATGGATCTGTACTTGTATAGCGCCTTTCTAGTCTTCCGATCACTCAAAGTGCTTTTACACTACGTGCCACATTCACCCTTTCACACACATTCACTCAGTGATGGCAAAGTCCATCGAACAGAAACTAACATTCATACACACTCACACATCGATGCATGGCATCGGGAGCAATTTGGGGTTCAGTATCTTGCTCAAGGATACTTCGACATGTGGCACCAGGAGCCGGGGATCGAACCCACAACCTTCCGATTAAGGAACAACCTGCTCTGCCTCTGAGCCTCTGCCTCTTATATATGATATATAATAATAATAATAATAATAATAATAATAATAATAATAATAGTAATAATAATAATATAATATTATTAATATAATAATAATTAAAAAATAATTTTATAAATATGATATATAATATCAACATGGTTAATATCACACAATAATAACAATAACACATATCACATATGATAGTATATGTTCCACAGGTAGATTTAGTCCAGTTCTGTGATTGTGGCTCTGACAGAGGCAGATGAGTTATACAGTATTATAACAGATAATTTTCTATATCGTTCCTTAGAGCAGCGTGGTTGAATGAGTCTGTTGCTGAAGCTGCTCTTTAGCTTGTCCAGTGTTGTGTGGCGGGGGTGGGAGGTATTGTCCATGACTGCCAGCAGTTTTGCCAGCATCCTCTCCTCCACCACCTCCTCCAGGGTGACAAGCTTCAAGCCAACAACAGATTCAGCCTTTTTGATGAGTTTATTCAGTCTTTTGGTGTCCTTTGCCTTGATACCCGCACCCCAGGACACCGCAGCAAAGATGATGGTGCTCGCCACAACAGACTGATAGAACATTTGCAACATCCCGTTGCAGACATTGAAGGACCTGAGCCTCCTCAGGAAGTGAAGCCCGGTCAGACCCTTCTTGTAGATGGCCTCTGTATTTGTGGACCAGTCCAGTTTATTGTCTAGTGTGACACCCATGTACTTATAAGCTGACACCATATCCACATCAGTCCCGCCGATACTGACAGGAGAGGACAGGTGCTTGTTCTTCCTAAAATCCACCACCATCTCCTTTGTTTTTGCCACGTTCAGCTGCAGGTGGTTCTCCCCACACCACTTCACAAAGCGGTCAACCAGGTCCCTGTACTCAGCCTCCACACCCCACAATAGCTGTGTCATCAGAGAATTTCTGCAGATGACACGACTCAGTGCAGTACTTAAAGTCTGCAGTGTAGGTGGTGAAGAGGAAGGGACACAGTACAGTTCCCTGGGGGCCCCGATGTTACTAATCAGACGGTAAGACACACAGTTCTATAATCTCAGAAACTGCAGTCTGCCCGTCAGATAGTCATCGACCCATGTGATGAGGGGAGCACTCAGCTGCATGTTCTCCAGTTTGGCCTTCAGCAGTCCGGGCTGGATGGTGTTGAAGGCGCTGGAAAAATCAAAGTACATGACATGGACTGAGGTGTTGTGTCTGTCTAGTAGATCAGTGGATCATCAACCCCTACATGGGGCTGATATGCGACATGAATTCAATGACCACAGAATTCAAAATGGCCGACTTCCTGTTGTGTTTGGGTTATGGGTCCAAGAGGCTTTTTTGCTTGTCCCATCATGATACACATGTGTACCAATTCTCATACATGTCGGTCTTACGTGTCGTTGGGGCTGATTCTGGGGGGCTTGGGCGGGACTCTTATCAAATATGTGAAGTTTCGTTGCAGTCGGATCATGTACGCAGAAGTTATGACAACGTTATCTTTTCATGGCGAAGGATTGAAATTGGACGCCCAGCCCACGCTGTTCGATGTGGGCGCGGCGTAATAATAATTCCTAGAGATACAATAGGGACCTCCAGCAGTCGCTGGCTCGGTCCCTAATTAAATCTGAAAGCAGCGTTGGGCGGGACCTCGCCATCGACCCACGTTGGGGCCGCGCCACGTCGCCCCATGCACAAGCTCTCATCGCCGGAAGCCGAGGGAGACCTCTTTTCCTAATAGTAGCGCCACCTAGTGGCTGAGCCGAAAGCAACGCATAGAATATAAAATTTTTCACCAGGCCTGACCACTTTGCCAAATAAAATTGAGCTTTCATATATGTTCAGAGGGTCAAAAATGATGTCAATGTTCTGAAAAATAATAATAAACATAGCAAAAACAATAGGGACCTCCAGTGTTGACACTGGCTCGGTCCCTAAGAAACATAGCAAAAACAATAGGGGCCTCCCAGTGTTGACACTGGCTCATTCCCTAAAAATCTGTGTTATTATGACTACTAATACTGTTACTTGAACAGAGGATGAACATCAATGCCTTTGCAGAAAACCACTGCAGGTTTTAATGCAAGGTTTAGTGCTTTGAACCAACCTGTTTATAATATTTTTTGAAGGATTAATGTGGCCTAAAATGCCTGATGTCATTTCAGCTCTTAAAAAAACAAACTAAATGTGTGATGCGTATTGCAATATTTGCAATGAAATTGTGGGGGAGGGTGAAAATTGCAAAAAATAGTTAATAATTAGAAAATCTAAGGTAACTTGTTTCAGTGAGAATACAATCACTGGTGGTTTGGTGATGTAATAGTAATGGTAATGGTAATTGGATATGTACTTGCATAGCACCTTTCTAGTCTTCCGACCACTAAAAGCGCTTTTACACTATCACTTTCGCCTTTCACACATGGCAAAGCATCAAGAGCAATTTGGGGTTCAGTATCTTGCTCAAGAAAATTTTGACACACAGTGGGAGCAGCCGGGGATTCAATTTAATTCAATTCAATTCAATTTTATTTGTATAGCGCCAATTCATAACAGAAGTTATCTCGGGACACTTTTCAAATAGAGTAGGTCTAGACCGAACTCTTTAAAACATTATTTACAGAGACCCAACAGTACCACCATGAGCAAGCACTAGGCGACAAGGGCAAGGAAAAACTGCCTGTCAAAAGCCAGAAACCTAGGACAAATCCTTCGGCTCTAGGTGGGTGGTCGTCTGCCTCGACCAGTTGGGGTGAGAGAGAGAGAGAGACAGAGAGAGAGAGAGAGACAGACAGAGAGACAGACAGACAGACAGGTGCACAGCAACAACAGCATTGGCAATGGCAATCTAGCATGACCATGGCAGGAGGCTCCACCAGGATCGATGCAAACCTGCAAGACGAGAAAGCACAAGAACTCCGGGGAAGAAGTGAAGTTAGTAACATGCATTAATGGAACATGAATGAGTGCAGAAAGAGAGAGGAAGAGAGGAGCTCAGTGCACAATGGGAAATCCCCCGATAGTCTAGGCCTATAGCAGCATAACTAAGGGATGGTTCAGGACTCACCTGATCCAGCCCTAACTATAAGCTTTATCAACCAACAGCCTTCCGATTAGTGGACAACCTGCTCTGCCTCTGAGCCACATGTATGGCTCATTGTTTTGCATGGGGAATGCTATGATTTGTGAAATTTACAAAGTCACACAGAATTCTGTCCTTCTGTCGTTACCTCTTATCTGTCCTTCTGTCTTTACCCCATTCTCTGTCTTTGTCTCTGTCTCAGTCTCTGTCTCTCTCTTTCTCTATCCCCAACTGGTCGAGGCAGACGGCCACCCACCTAAAGTCTCTCCGAGGTCTCTGCCTCTTAAAAGGAAGTTTTTCCTTGCTCATGCTTGCTCATGGTGGGAACTGTTGGGTCTCTGTAAATAGTTTTATAAGGAGTACGGTCTAGACCTGCTCTATTTTTAAGTGTCCAAATAAAATTGAATTGAATTGAATTGAAAATTGAATTCACAGGTTTAATTTGTTTTAATTTTGTGCAGAACTCCAAGTCCAAGAAGGTTTCTGCATCATAACTTGGATGGATATGGGAAAAAAAATGCATTGTAGGTTTTTTCCATGTTCACATGGCTAAAGCTGCAGTCATTATACAGCATTCTTTTCTTCTTCCTCTGCATTATGGTAAATAGTAAATGGACTGTATTTCGACCACTCAATGCGTTGTACACTACATGCCACACCCACACACTGATGGCAGTGTCTGCCGTGCAAGGTGCCAACCAGAAACCAGAAACCAGAAACGGAAACGTATCATTCATACACACAGCATCAGGAGCAATTTGATTAGTGGATGACCTGCTCTACCTCTAACCCGTTATGGTGATACTGTTGTCAGTGATTGTTGTCAACCTGCTTCTCCTTTGCCATTTTACAACACACTGTACAGCTCACAGTCGACATGCTCAGTGATCAGTATCTAAGTATCTTTTAAATTTTATGTGTAAGTTGATGGTCAATAGGAATGTAAGTCAAACACAGACACAACAAATGTTTGCTGCTGAAATACGTTTAATGATCATTAGAAACACTTAGATGTACACGTTACTGTATACTATATGTGTGGAAGGAACAGACTAATGAAGCTGATTACAAAATGTTACTGTAGTCCTCCACAGAGTAGTAAAAATCTTCATTGGTTTTGTAAAGACTAGCAATAACATTTTAAATTGAAAATAAACAGAGTATAAAAACTTTTATTTTATAAGATACTAAGTCACATGATAAAATTATTGTTACACACTGTATGATGTTGAATTTTATAAAGGTGCTGTCGAAACTTCATTCTTCATCATCATTTTAGATCTTTTGATATAAATGGTGTGGACAAAATAATAGAAACACTTCTCAGTACAGTTACAACAACAGTACATCCAATATAATTCAACATCACCACAAACAGCAACCTCCAAAATGACCATAGAATTGAATCAATACCTCTCAGTTTCAACGAAAACACAACATTAGGACCTTAGGAAAGATAATGATTTATTGCAGGACTGTTATATGAGACTGCACTAGTTTATCATTATCAGCTAGGTGTACCTGAATAAACTGACTGAGTGTATGTTGAAGTAGTTTTAGCTGCAACAGCAATACACAGTAGTTAAAGTACTATGTAACAATCTATTTCAGGTTACATTAACATTAATTGTTAATGCAATAACAGCAGTTTGTAAGCAGAGTGACTTAAAAGAAACATTATATTATGTATTATTTTTATTAATAACCTTTAAGATCAGATTTTTGACAACTGAGCTATTTCTATCTTTAATTGTGAAACACCATTTTAGATCAATGAATTAAATACATGGACTGTTACCACAGAAAAATCTATAATTATAATTGAAAAATTAAGGCTTAGAGTCTAAACACAACATTGCTCCCTAAAGAATTGCTTTAATTAAGAGAAGATGGCACTCTGCATGTATCTATCCTTTTCTCCCATGATGTCTGAAGGGGAAACGTCTTTTGGCGTAACAAGCTCTTACTCCCTTCTGCACTCCACATCTTTGCTGTCTTTTGCAGGGTTTGTTCTTACAGGTCACCACCCCTCCACGGCAGACACAGAAGCTCTGGCATTCAGCGTCAACGTAGAATTTCTGTCCAGAAACAATGTACTGACCATTGAAGTGGCAGCCGCACTCAGCCAGTGGCACACAGCGATCCTAGAAGGTTCAACAATCAGGACAAGTCACATTGTTGTACATAGTCCTTCTGAATGTAATTATTCTGGCTATATCTATTCTTACTAAAGCATGTGCCTCAGAAGCATGTGCTTTCAATGCCAGACTAACTAGAAAGAAGGAAATGCATTAAGCACTTGGTATTATATAATATGCAGCAGTTTTGACAGAATTTACTAATGTAATAATGAAGTTATTGAACAAAAGGTGATACCTCTGTTTAACTAGTAAACAGTTAAATGGCCCAATTGAGAACAAAGATATCACTCTCTGTATTATTTGTGGGAATTTATAATTTGTGTGCAACATTGTACAGTTACACAAGTTGGACTTTGATATTATCTTCATATCAAATTGAAAATATGTTAGAATATAGAAAAGTACCTGTACTTGTATAGCGCCTTTCTAGTCTTCTGACCACTCAAAGCGCTTTACACACATTCACTCAGTGATGGCAAAGCCCATCGAACGGAAACTAGTCATCCATACACATTCACAAAATTCAGGGTTCAGTATGTTGCTTAAGGATACTTTGACATGTGGCAGGAGGAGCTGGGGATTGAACCAACAACCTTCTGATAAGGAGACGACCTGCTCTGCCTCTGCACCACAGCCGCCCCTAATCATTAATGTAGGCTATAAATCCTTCTTTCATGAAATATGCCAATCTAAACGGACTGGTGATGTAATTGGACCCAGTGGCGGGCTGGCCATCGGGAGCACAGGGACGTTTCCCGGTGGCCTGGCTGCTGAACTGGTGCGCTTGATTTTTAAATAAACAATCCGCCGTGCGGCTCATTAGGGTATCTGCCTTGCTGAAGCTCACACAGACTGAGCAGCAACGTTTGGCACACCTCCACTCTTTTTCTGAGCCTCTCTGTACAGCACTACAGGCACACACACACACACACACACCAAGTTGTGCCCCCCTCCTGTAGTTCTACATGCTTGAAAAATTGAGCGAGATCGACAGCCCAAGAGGAAAGGTGGAGCAGAGAGGGAGAGGCTTACAAAGCTAAAAGCACTGGCCACAGATGCGGCGAAGTGCTGTAAAATACATGTTTATAATGACATTAAGGGAGCAGGTAAGACATTAAACACTAGTGGTGGCTTGGCTTTGCCAAGATTGGCTTTGGATTGGACGCTACGGTAAGCGTACTGACTCACTTCCGGTTTACTCCTGCTCTGTGTACACTGTTTGGTGCTGTAGCTCTGTCAGTGAACGCTAAATATAAATTAGTTTTACTCGTTACAGCGGTTATTTACCCGCTTAACATTTAAACGTAGACTAGTTCTACTTAAACACTTGGAGTTTCTCCCTCTTTTAGGGACTTTCACTACTTTCAAAGTTTTTCATACACTCTAGTTTCATTAGCATTAGCAGTTAGCTATGGCTTCTCCCTCTCCCTCTCCTCTGTCCTGCTCAGTGTGTCAGATGTTCAGTTATTCCTCTGCCTCCTTTAAAGATAATGGTACCTGTATTTAATGTAGTTTATTTACTGCGCTGGAGGCGAGGCTTAGTGAGTTAGAGGAACGGCACCGCACCACTGAGATATCTTTAGCCGCTATAGTTAGCCAGCCCCCGGTAGCCGGTGCGGTCCGACCGAAGGTAGCTTCTGTTAGCTCTGTAGATCCCCCGGTAGTTCCCGAGCAGCCGGAAGACAGGAGGCTGGGTACTGAGCGAAGGAAGACTAGAACGCCGAAGCCCACAGGTCACCACCAACCGCTTCACGTTTCTAATACATTTTCCCCTCTCAGCGATACACCCGCTGAGGAACCAACTCTGGTTATTGGCAGCTCCATAGTCAGAAACGTGAAGTTAGTGAAGCCAGCGGCCATAGTTAAATGTATCCCTGGGGCCAGAGCGGGCGACATTGAATCAAATTTAAAACTGCTGGCAAAGATAAACGTAAATACAGTAAGATTGTTATCCACGTCGGCGGTAACGACACCCGTTTACGCCAATCGGAGGTCACTAAGATTAATGTGGAGTCGGTGTGTAACTATGCTAAGACAATGTCGGACACCGTAGTTTTCTCTGGACCCCTCCCCAATGTGACCAGTGATGACATGTATAGCCGCATGTCGTCATTCCACCGCTGGCTGTCGAGGTGGTGTCCAGCAAACGATGTGGGCTTCATTGATAACTGGAAGCCTTTTGGGGAAAAACCTGGTCTGATTAGGAGAGACGGCATCCATCCCACTTTGGATGGAGCGGCTCTCTTATCTAGAAATATGGCGAAGTTTATTTCTAAAACCTGACAGTCCAGAGTTAGGACCAGGAAGCAGAGCTGCTGTCTTACACACTTCTCTGCTCTTTCTTTAGAACAGTCACCCACCCAAAACCCCATAGAGACTGTGTCTGTCCCCCGACCACCTAAACTATTTAAAGAAATAAAAACAAGAGGAGTTCAACATAAAAATCTAATAAAAATTAAAACCAACTCCTCAGTAGCACAAAATAAGAGAATGAAATGTGGGCTGTTAAATATCAGGTCTCTGTCCTCTAAAGCTGTTCTAGTGAATGAATTAATATCAGATTATGATATTGATTTACTTTGTCTTACTGAGACCTGGTTGTCCCACGAGGAGTATGTTAGCCTAAATGAATCCACCCCCCAGTCATATTAATACTCACATTCCTCGAGGCACAGGCCGAGGAGGTGGAGTAGCAGCTATATATGATTCGAGCGTTTTAATGGACCCTAAACCTAAACTAAATTATAATTCATTTGAAAGCCTTGTTCTTAGTCTTTCTCACCCAAACTGGAAAACACTGCAGCCAGTTCTATTTGTTATAGTGTACCGCGCTCCTGGACCGTACTCTGATTTTATATCTGAATTTTCAGAGTTTCTATCAAGCTTAGTCCTTAAATCAGATAAAGTAATTATTGTAGGTGATTTTAATATTCATGTGGATGTTGACAATGACAGCCTTAGTAATGCATTTATCTCATTAATAGACTCAATTGGCTTCTGTCAGAGTGTAAATAAACCAACTCATTGTTTTAATCACACTCTTGACCTTGTTTTATCATATGGCATTGATATTGAACATTTAATAGTCTTCCCACATAATCCTTTCCTATCTGACCATTATTTAGTAACTTTTGAATTCATACTATTAGATTATAAGCCATTAGGCAAAACTTCCTACAGCAGATGTTTATCTGACAGTGCTGTAGCTAAATTTAAGGAGGAGATTCCTTCAGTGTTTAATTCAATGCCATGTCTGAATTTAACAGAGTCCTATAACAACTTTAGTCCCTCTGAAATTGATAATCTTGTCGATAGTGCTACAGGCTCACTACGATCAACATTAGACTCTATCGCTCCTATAAAAAGGAAATTATTAAAACATAGGAGACTAGCACCTTGGTATAACCACCAAACCCGCCAGTTAAAGCAAATAGCTAGGAAATCTGAAAGGAAATGGCGCTCTTCCAAATTATCAGAATATCGCTCAAATTGGCAAGATGATCTTAAGATTTATAGAAAGGCCCTCCGTAATGCCAGAGGAGCCTATTACTCAGCACTAATAGAAGAAAATAAGAACAACCCTAGGTTCCTCTTCAGCACTGTAGCCAGGCTGACAGAGAGTCACAGCTCTATCGAGCCACATATCCCCATAAACTTAAGTAGCAATGACTTCATGAGCTTCTTCTATAATAAAATTATTACTATTAGAGAAAAATTAATCACCAACTGCCATCAACAGTTATCAGTGGCTCTCCAAGTTCAGGGACTTCTGTCAATGTAAACTTAGATGTATATTTAGACTGTTTTTCTGCTATCGATCTTCATCAGTTAACTTCAATCATTTCTTCATCGAAGCCATCAACCTGTCTGTTAGACCCGATCCCAACTAGGCTGCTTAAAGAAGTTGTTCCCTTAATTGGCACTTCTTTACTGGATATGATTAATCTTTCTTTATTATCAGGATATGTACCACAGTCCTTTAAAGTAGCTGTAATTAAACCCCTTCTTAAAAGTCTACTCTTGACCCAGGGGTTTTAGCCAACTATAGACCGATTTCTAACCTCCCGTTCCTCTCTAAGATTCTGGAAAAGTAGTCGCCAAAGAGTTGTGTGACTTTCTACATAACAATAGTTTATTTGAGGATTTTCAGTCAGGATTTAGAGTTCATCATAGCACAGAGACAGCTCTGGTTAAAGTTAATAATGACCTTCTGACTGCTTCTGACAATGGACTTGTCTCTGTACTTGTATTATTAGATCTTAGTGCTGCATTTGACACCATTGACCATGATATTCTTTTACAGAGACTTGAGCATCAAATTGGCATTAAAGGAACTGCCCTAACCTGGTTTAAGTCATACTTATCAGATCGTACTCAGTTTGTACATGTTAACGATGAATCCTCCATAAATACTAAAGTTAGTCATGGAGTTCCACAAGGTTCTGTACTTGGACCAATACTATTTACTTTATATATGCTCCCTTTAGGCAACATTATTAGGAATCACTCCATTAACTTTCACTGTTATGCAGATGATACGCAGTTATATCTATCAATCAAACCCAATGAAATTAATCAATTATCTAAATTACAAACATGTCTTAAGGACATAAAATCCTGGATGACCTGCAATTTTCTGATGTTAAACTCAGAAAAAACCGAAATTCTTGTTCTTGGCCCCAAAAACCTTAGAGACTCATTGTCTAAAGATATAGTCACTCTAGATGGCATTAACTTGGCCTCTAGCACCACTGTCAGGAATCTTGGAGTTCTCTTTGATCAGGATTTGTCATTTAACTCCCACATAAAGCAGACCTCTAGGACTGCCTTCTTTCATTTACGTAATATTAGAAAAATTAGACACATACTATCACAGACAGATGCAGAAAAACTAATCCATGCATTTGTTACTTCAAGGCTGGATTACTGCAACTCTTTATTATCAGGTTGCCCCAATAAGTCCATTAAAACGCTCCAATTAATTCAGAACGCTGCAGCACGAGTACTGACAGGAACTAAAAAAGAGATCACATCTCTCCTGTACTAGCTACTCTGCATTGGCTCCCCTATAAAATGTAGAATTGAATTTAAAATACTCCCCTCACCTATAAAGCTCTTCATGGTCAGGCCCCTTCATATCTTAAAGAGCTCATAGTACCCTATTACCCCACTAGAACACTACGTTCTCTGAATGCTGGGCTACTGTGGTTCCTATAGTCTCTAAAAGTAGAACAGGAGCCAGAGCCTTCAGTTACCAAGCTCCTCTCCTGTGGAACCGGCTTCCAGTTGTGGTTCGGGAGGCAGACACCCTCACCACTTTCAAGAGTAGGCTTAAGACATTCCTCTTTGATAAAGCTTATAGTTAGGGCTGGATCAGGTGAGTCCTGAACCATCCCTTAGTTATGCTGCTATAGGCCTAGACTATCGGGGATTTCCCATGGTGCACTGAGCTACTCTCTTCCTCTCTCTTTCTGCACTCATTCATGTCCCTTTAATGCATGTTACTAACTTCACTTCTTCCCCGGAGTTCTTGTGCTTTCTCGTCTCGCAGGTTCTCATGGATCCTGGTGGAGCCTCCTGCCATGGTCCTGCTTGACTGCCATTGCCAATACTGTTGTTGCTGTGCACCTGTCTGTCTGTCTGTCGCTCTCTCTCTCTCTCTCTCTCTCTCTCTCTCTCTCTCTCTCTCTCTCACCCCAACTGGTCGAGACAGACGACCACCCACCTAGAGCCGGAGGATCTGTCCCTAGGTTTCTGCCTTTTAACAGGCAGTTTTCCTTGCCCTTGTCGCCAAGTGCTTGCTCATGGTGGTACTGTTGGGTCTCTGTAATTAATGTTAAAGAGTTCGGTCTAGACCTGCTCTATTTGAAAAGTGTCCTGAGATAACTTCTGTTATGAATTGGCGCTATACAAATAAAATTGAATTGAATTGAATTGAATAGTGGTGACAACAGACGCACAACCATAGCCTATCCAGCACGACTAGTTTCATGAGGAGGTTAGATCCACTTTGTGGAAGCTGATGGGGCTAAAACTGACTTAATAAAACTAATGTTTTAAGTTGTAACAAAGGATATTGCAAATTTTAGAATATGGTTAACTAACATAGACACAACATAATAAATTATATGAATATTGAAATCCTTGTATTATATTATTTCATTTAACCTTTATTTAACCAGGTAAAATCCCATTGAGATTAAGAACATATTTGTTGTTATATGAACATAGCCAATGCATATAGAAATGGTCAATTAGTGAATTTGAATAGCTGTGAAATTATTGGTGGCTTTTGGATTTTTCTTTACAAAGGTGGAGAAGGGAGCAGTGTCAGCACAGTTAGCAGCACTGTCATGGCAGTGGTGGATAGCAGCATTGAAGAGTCAGACCAGGAACCTTCAGGTAAAATTCAAGTACAAACCAAACATGCAGGCTATGCTTTTAGAATAATTTGTGCTTCACTTATGATGATTAGTATATGGTCTCAAGTTTAGGTGGATGATGGTGTATCTACACTGTTAAATGTGCAGCCTGCACATTTGAAGTGTAGTAGTAAATTAACACCTGCATAATGCAGGTGAACATAATTTCAGTTATGTGATTTTAGACAGAAACATTTATTTTGTAGGGGAAAGAAACAAAAATCTGTGTGTGGGCGCATGTGGAGCCTTTGCTTTATTATTTTACACTCTCACATCAGTAGGCGCCCAACCTAACTCACTCTTGGTGTTTTGTGTTAATCGGGTGGTGGTGGCCTGGGATGTTATCAAATTCCCAGCCTGAATTATTGTCCCAGTCTGGCCCTGATTGGACCTGTTTCAAATTAGATTATGGAGTGCAGCGGCCACTGTGGGAGGAATCCTACAGCTCCTACAATTTAATGACAATCTCAGCAGTTGAAAAGATATTTAAAATGACTATAACATACCTGTCACCTGTGCATAAATCTTCTTCTTTTTCTTCTTCTTCTTCTTCTATAAATGGTTCATGTGTCTTCTTAATGCTGTTACTACGTCCACCACCAACTCCCTTGTCCCGAAATTCAACCCTGCTTATCTAGTCACACTACAGACAGGTTTGATTTTTGCTCGTCTTCAAGATACTTTTGGAATTAACATTAATTAGTGACAGCTGATATTATCTGTTGTCACAGACTTTGTCATTTATCAACCAGTGAAAGCAACCACAACCGCACAGATACGCAATCATTTTTCATCTAATTTGCACTGTAGAGCTGTCTGGGAGTTCAGCATTTGATCAGCTTTATTTAGCTGATAGCAATCCATAAAAATATGCCCAGATCGGCCCAGATACCAGTCTTTAGGACGGGCTCAGGACAGCCCTAGATAAAAGAATAATTTAAAGAAGAACAGCGAGTAGTAGAGGAACAAAATCAGACATAAGTGGAAGAAGACAGGAAAGTGTGGAAAATATTACCTGACTCAGCAGGAAACCAGGGTTACAGACACAGCCTTCACTGGGTGGGGTTTTACACTGAACGGGTGGAGACAGAGAGGAGCAGCTGATTGGACAGCCAGGAGCTGTGATGCTGTACATACTGTTTGCTGCACACTGCATCCCTGAAACACACACATACAAACACAATATCACTCAGATTGCACGCACAAATACAATGTGATCATGTCACTTCAATTGTGAGCATATGTCTTTGTGAATGTGTGTGTTCTCTCTGTGTATATATAAAGGTGCAAGTAAGTAAGTAAGTAGATGAAAGCAGGCATACGTCACTTTCCTGTCTTCAGAATGACCACCCCCCCTTTTAGGTGTGAGTGCCTATTGGCACAATTCCTAAAAGCTGCTACATCACAGACAAATCAAAGAATAAAAAAATACCAGTTCATGATTTTCTTTGCTTCCCTGAAGAGCAAAAGGCAGAAAAGAAGAGCTCTGTGGCTTCACGCCATCAACAAAGAGAATAATAATGGTAGGGCACTGGCAGTCACTAATGTGTCTGTGGTAAACACTTAATCACAGGTTAGTTAATGATGTTACTGAGTAAATGACATGTGTGCCAGTTGTGCCTGTAGATTGAAGCAAATGAAAAAGGTGTCTTTAGTGAAGTTTTGTCTGTAAAAACAACACCCTATCATAAAACACCTGCTTTTAAAATGGAGTTTGGATTGACACTCTATCCACTCAAAAGACCAGACGATATCTTAACCTTAATAATTCACATAAATTGAGCTGGCCTACCTTCTAATAATGAACCTTGTAAACAGTATAAAGTAACATAGGAAGTGGAGATAAAACCAACCTGTTATCTACTTCTCTGAGCTCATAGCAAAAGGTTGTTTAACAAACTGCTATCCAAAACAGACACAGCAGTTCTGCTTCCCTATAGCAATATAATTAGTTTAAAGTAACATCACATTAGACAAATGACCAAAACAGACAATCTTAAGGACGGGAAAAGTGACAGATGTCAGAAACACGACATTCAGTAAGGTAGTTGTATACGTCAGGTTCCTCCATTTTGATGGAGACTAGCACTATTTCTATTATTATTTTATTTCTTTTTTTACCTATATAACAAAGCCAGCCGTTAATCAGCAACAACATAACATAACTGTTTGCCTGAGAGGCCATAGTATTTGGGCTCTTAATAGCAAAAAACAATACAGTATTCTTATTTTATGCAATTAAATTTACCACCAGGACTGCTTTCAGCCAAAAGTGGACGCAAGGACAAAGTGCTTGGATGGGCTACTCTCATCTATACTTCATCAGAAGTGCTTGTCAGATAGAACAACTTTAGAAACCCTCAACCCCCCTCTCTTAAAAGCAACTTTTTAATGTGGAAAACTAGGGCAACATTATGAATGTCTTCCATCTGAAAATGTGCAATATCCACCCTCTGTATGACTTGGCTTTTCACCCTACCTTCAAGTGTGACTGGGGGTCAGGTCACATCAGAAAGCAAAAGTTACTACAGACAGGTCTGACAACCCTTCAAACAAACGTGTTCATTTCGTGTACAATCTGGCCCTTAGTACAGCAGAAGTCCAGGAATTGTATGTACTGGTTATGTAAATGTACACGTGTGTGCCGGTTTGTAGCTGCATGGCATTTTACTGACTCAGCATACATATCTGACCTGCCTGACTACAGCTGTGACTGTGGCAGCAATAAGCACACCTGGAACCCTCAGGTCATGAAATAAAGGAAGCACTTAGTTGAGGGTAATAAAGAGACTTAAGATATTTGAATGCCAAGGTTTAATTTAGAGATGTTTAATATTGGCAGTTGGTGTTGAATGGGCACCAAAGTTGGAAATTTTCAAATTCTACACACAGTGGCTCTGACTTACAAAACAGACTGTTTCTGAACGAAACAGGGTGTGTTATAAAATGATAATACTAAATATTAAGTAGGGCTGTCAAAATATTCGATTAATTAATTTGAGAAAAAATAACGGATTAAAGAAAATAACGCAGATTAATCGATTCCGTATTGACCTTTAACCCGGAGTCGTTCCAGTCAGTCACTCACCACCATTAGACTGTAAAATGAAGGAAGGAGACGAGAACGCGCTGCCTGGATCATTGATTGGAACATTTACTTATAAAAAACGGCCTGATGGAAGTGTTAATAAAAATAAAGTCCTCTGCAATGTCTGTAGCAAGGAATTTGCATATCACCGGAGTTCGTCAACTCTAAAGTACCACATCAATGCAAAGCATCCAGGAGTTAATCCGGAGGTAGGCCTACGACCTAGCACGTCCCGTGATACCAACTCTAACAGTCAACCTCATCTTCAAACCACACTGGAGCAAACACTGAAATGTAAACTTAGCAAATCTGTATGTGAACGAGCAATTCCCTTGCTAAATGGATCGCAATGTCCTGCAGTCCAGTTTCGGTGATAGAAGACGGGGGTTAGCAGAGGTTTTGCAAATAGCCTCTTCAGACATTACATATAACCCGCCATCACGAAACACGATTATGTCAAAAATCCAGCAGCTGTACAACACTGAAAAAAAACCCAAAACGAGATGTACTGGTGGGAGCAGAATATAACGCGCTGACAGGGGATCACTGGACTTCAGTTAGCAATCACAATTACCTTGGTGTGGCGCAAGCTAGAATGTAGACACGTCTCTTGCAAGCTCCTACAAGGTCGATTTTTAAAACTTAATATAATTCTGTCAAAACAAGTGCCAAGACCTAACTCATATGTCTTAAAGTAATTTAAACGTCAAACAACAAGTTGAAACTGTTTTGAGACCATAATGGAGGCTTCAAATACTCGAAACCAGTCGGCAAAACAACAACGCAGCATTCAGTCAGGCACGGCGGCGGCCGCTGCGGCTAGCTCGGCTAGCCCTGAGGCCTCGACTAGCAGCAATATGCTAACACCGACGATGCTCTCTGACTCGCTCAACTCTGATTCTGTCTGCACAAAGATTGGGGCGGCCTTTCAGACTCTGCGGGATGATATCAAAGTGGATATTGACTCGGTGAGGAGCGAGCTATCCGCGGCGGTCACTAGCCTGCGGGCCTCGTTAGCATCACATGATACCTGACTGAAGGAGCTGGAGAAAGCTGTCGACTATCCTGGCGACTGCACTACTGGCGGAGCTCAGTGTCCCAACTTCAAGGTGGTGTGAGGGAGCTGCAGGCAAAATGTGAAGACCTGGAAGGCTGTTCCAGACGGAACAATTTGCGGCTTACTGGTGTTGAGGAAGGGCTGGAGAATGGTCAGCCTACGCAGTTTGTGTCTCAACTCCGCTCCGCTGCTGGACAGAGCTCACAGATCACTACGAGCAAAACCACAACCCGGGGAACCCCCGCGTGTGTTTATCAGGCACGTGCACTACACACATGAGGGATGAGATACTGAGGGCCCCCTGATGTACAAAGGGGAGATGCTCCATATTTATCCTGACTACACCACCACGGTGATGAAGAAAAGGACAGCCTTTGGAGACGTGAAAAGGAGGCTGAGATCCATAGAGGGAGCAAAGTACGGGCTACGATTTTCGGCTACACTCCGTGTCACTCTCCTGGGAAGTAAAGAACGTACTTTCGAGGATCCCACCCTGGCACTGGACTTCATTAACCGTGAGACACACGTTGCCGACCCAAGCGAATGAAACACCTGCATCTTCTTCATCGGGGTAAGAAATACAGCCGCTAATTAAAACAAGCCATGCATCACAGATGTTTTGTGCTGGTCGTCTCCTTTGGACATCACTTTTTGAAGGCTATGAAACTGTACAACTGCCGTTAGATATGTTGACAGCAGACAGGTATGTTTCTCTCTCCCTTTTCTATTCCTGCTATTATAAGCGTTTTTTTGCGTTGTATTTGAACGAACTCCTCCTAGAGAATTTATCAGATCTGCTTCAAAATTGGTCAGTACAGTCAAAAAATGGTGCTGATTAAAAGTTTTGGTATTTGTGACTGTACGTTAAAGGGCGTGTCTGTGGCTTTCCCTCAAAGTTGGCCAGGTTGAATCGAATGGCAAACTGTGATGCTATTTCCGGCATTTAAGGGCTTCTGTTTTAACTAACTCCTCCTACAGATTTTATCAGATTGACTTCAAATTCGATCACTTCAATCTACATACATTGGTTATCAAAAGTTGTGCTATTTGTGACTGTATGTTTAACCGTGTGCCCGTGACGACGTGTTGAATTCCACCGATTGGCCATCAAACAGATAGTACTCATATCATATACATCAGTGTACAGTCCCACCCTGAACACATCCTCATAACTTCAGCGTACATGATCCAATCTCAATGAAACTTCACGTGTTTGATAACAGTCCCACCCTGAACACGTCTACATGACAATATTCAGATATAGTGATAGCGCCACATACTGGTAACAGGAAGTATCACGTTTTATACTTTCATGTTCTACTCCTCGCAGGATGATCAGATCCAGCTGAAATTTACTTATAAAATGCAAAACACATTGCTGATGATATGTGTTGACTGTTGTGAGGGGGCGTGTCTGTGGGGTGGCGAGAAATTTTGATGGACCGCCACAAAACACAAATTCGCTAGTGTACATTGTCCAATCGGCTCCACACTTCAAATGCTTGATAACAGTCCCGCCCTGAACACGTGTACATGACAATATTCAGACATAGTGATAGTGCCACCTACTGGCAACAGGAAGTAAGTGCTGCGTGGCGATTTTGAGCTGAGTTACGTGAAATGACCGTGCCAGTGATGACTTGTCGAATTCAGCGGATTCGCCATAAAACAGCACTCATAACTTCAGTGTGCAATGTCCAGTCTCCAGTAAACTTCATATATTCTGTAACAGTCTCGCCCTGAACACGTCCTCATAACTTCAGCGTACGTGATCCAATCTCAATGAAACTTAACGTGTGTTACAACAGTCCCGCCCTGAACTTGTCTACATGACAATATTAAGACATAGTGATAGCGCCACCTACCGGCAACAGGAAGTAAGCGCTGCGTAGCAATTTTGAGCTGATTTACGTGAAATTTCATGTTTTGGTCCACACGTGTAACGATGGCCCGCAAACGCGGCTGCAGCACACCCCGAATTGCGTGGAGTGCGAGGTCCCGCTCAACGCTGCT